CTATTGTTGAGGAAGGACGGCTAAGATGAATTAACATTACGACGATGCATTTAATGCTGATATATGACTTCATTGAGAAAATGATAGTTTGCTGATATATATGCATTTTTATAGCTTTGGTATGGCCCTATCCAGCTTGTGCTCTTAACGTAACTAAACGGAAGGGCCCCTTTTGTAATTAAGGTTTTTTAAGAGTAAAGGTTTATCTCTGCCATATTTTGCGTTCGTTTACGAGATTTAGCCTTGCATCTGTGCTTCAAAAGTCAAATTCGCTTTTGCGCAGCAGCGTCTCTTCAGGTTTGTGATGACTGATCCAGCGGGAGCGTCTTCATCCGATTCACTGGTTCAAGAGTTTTTGAAGGAGGTTAGTCGTATCATTTCAACAATAGCTTTTTTCAAACTTGATTTTTAGTATAAATTGATAGAATTTCTTGGTTTGTCCTTAAGGTTACATGAAATTTGATTAATGATTTTGTATATGAATTTTGATTTTCTAATTTGCAATAAAACATATCAGCGTAAAAAATTTATGAGATTTCTGCAACATTTTCGTCAATAATTTGCTCTATAAGCAATTTTGAACAAATGTCATTTTAAAGTTCGGATAAGGGCTCAGAATTTGCAAAAGAGCCAATTTTCCTTGAATCGATGATGAGGAATTTTTTTTCCTGAAAATTGAAAATGTATTTATGGTTTCTGCTTGGCAATCTTCACATTATTTTCGCAACTCCCGAAAAAGCACTAACATTTCCTATGAACATTTCCAATTTAGCTGTTTTTAAAGATTGGTCAAAGTGAGGCAAAAGACAGCCGCCAACTCAAGAGTGAGCAAGAAATTCACAGATTGACCAGAACTGGCTCTTCCTACTTCAATCTAAACCCATTTGAGGCAAGTTATTTAAATTTAATCTGTGGCATTTGCGATTAATTTTTTTCCAATATGCTTTGAATAATTTGAGTGAACATACCTTTTCTTGTTGGATTTCAGTATCTCCCTGCTGTTCAATTTCTTTAAAGCCATTTGATAATAGCACGTGGTTAATCAGCTTTTTAAACGCATTGAAGATTCTTCTATGTAGTGGATTCGATCTTCCGCTTAAGCAAGTGCCTGTTCATGCTAGTTTTCTTTTTTTTTGAAAAGTTTGATTCAAGTGACTTTTTGTGGTTTTGCTCTTGTTCACAGCTAGGTTTGTCTGAGATTTTTTCACAGCTAGGAAACTGAGATTTTTTCGGAGGACTCGGAGTTAAACTTCATTCTTGGCCATTTTCTTTGTAAGGGTTCTTGAACGTAGTGAAGACTAATGTAGGTCGTGATGATTTTTTTTATTATAAATTTTTTATTCAAAAAGTATTGTCCTGCGCTTAATTTTGGAAAGATATTTTACCTGTGATCATTTTGTAAAGTTATGGGGTTTTAAAAATGGCCAATTTGGGACAATTAACGCGCGGTATATTTCGCGCTATTAACGCGTAAGCGGAGATTTAATCCGTCATAGAATCGTTGCAAATTAGTTGAAGGAAGCTTATTTGCCATAATTGATTTGTTACTAGGAGCGAAATTTATCACTTCGTATTTAATATGGCGTGTGTGGGGATGATTTTGACAAAAAATCTCAAATTAAAAAATTTTCATTTCATTTTTATTACATTTAGTTTTTATGTTATTACTGCTCCATAGACTGCTCTATAAATTGAGGCATGTTAGTTGGTAAATTTCTTTTTTTTTTCAAATTGACTGGTTCGGCTAATGCGTCATAATTGGCGTGCGTCACTTAAAAAAATTTCTAGACTCAAAGTTTTACTCTCAGTTTTTCCCAGTAGCTTTATCGGTGATATTTTTGCTTGTGTAAGCGAAGTTCAACTTCGCCTCTGTGTTAAAGCTTGCTTGTTATTAATGTTGTTGATTATGTATTTTAGGTTTTAAACGTGGATAGGTTTTAAATTTTAGGTTTTAAACAAGCAAGCTTTAACACTTCGCCTCTGTGTTAAAGCTTGCTTGTTATTAATGTTGTTGATTATGTATTTTAGGTTTTAAACGTGGATGTTGAGACGCCTATGGAAACGATTCGCAGTCGTTACAAGAGGGTAAGAACTAGTTGTTTTGACCCACCCCAATCAGCTGGTATATTTATTATTTGACCCCCCCCCCCCCCCCCCCCTATTCCAATCAATTGTGGTGTATTTGAATTTTCACTACTAAGGAGTTTTCTGATTTCAGCTATCGGTGGTAGTGCATCCTGACAAAAACATGAACGACAGAGAACGTGCGCAGAAGGCTTTTGATGGTTAGTTTGAAAGTTTGCAAAACAATTTTATTGAATTTTTTGCTTATAATGGACGAATAATTAATTCCTTGATGAGCATTATCATTGCAGCAACATAACTTGAGAGCTTTTGAGAATAAATCTTTGTCTTTGAGTAGCTTTAGTTTTAGTTTGAACACATTCGATTCTATGCTTGTTAAAAATGGATAAATACCCCAAATTTGAAGTCTAAACAGCCGTATTGTTAGCTAACAAGTAACTGTTCTTACTTTTTTGCGTCTCCTTTAATTGTGTTGATTTTTAGCTATCAAAAAAGCACTGGAACAACTTGAGAATGAAGATGTACGTACGGGATGTATCCAACTGATTAATGACTGCAAAGAAAAAGTGACTACAGAGGTGAGAATAGAAAAATTGCACGTATTCTAATAAAAATAGATCTGAACTTCGAAACTGCCAATCATAGCGTTTGAAATCTAGATGGAAGCTCATAGACGCAAATTAAAAAAAGAAGGCAAACCTCCGAATGTCCCTGAAGATGATCCCTCAGTAGTAAGTTCCTTTTTTCAAAACTTGAGATCAATGTCCAGAAATCGAGCATTTCAGTAAAATATGACTGTATTTATGATTTCAGTTCAAAGAAAAAGTTCGCAAAGAGTGTTTAAAAGCATTCGCAGATACCGAGCTAAGAAAACGGAAAGCCGAAGATTTGCATTCAAAGGAGCAGTAAGTTTCTGCGGTGGTATATAAACCAGCCGAAGTATCAAGCAATCGAAAATCCGTAAGGGTTATATAATTGTTATGCAACAATTATATAACAGTTACTCAAGTTATGCAAATTTCATTCATATGATGTAGCTTTTCGGTTGATTTATATACTTTGGCTGGCTTATACTTCGGCTGATTTATTTACCTCCGTTTCTGCGAGGTTTTCAGAAAAATTTAAGAGATGATCATGGAGAAGGACTTAATTGTATCTGAAAAAAATGGTATTTGCTTTGATGGTTTGACTTCAATTTTAAGTGTTTCGACGCGTGATTATAAAATAAACAATATTTAACAACAAGGGCAAGTGATATATCATTGAAAAACTTTTGAAACTGCTGCTGTGTTTGGATTCGCAGAGCTGCATTTTGAAAAATTCGGAAAAAGATTTGGTGTGGAAAAAAACTGATCAGAATTTTCTGTTGATCAGACCAATTTGAGAGTGGATGAAAAGATATTAGCTCAAAAATTATATGAAGTTGTTAACTATGTAATCAAAAATTATTTATTACATCTACCCTTTCGTTTGTTCTGTGTGAAAGAACGTAGTGAAGACTTAAAGAGTCATGAACGTAGTGATTACTCTTATACAGATCTTGGTGGTTTTTTTTTTTTTTTCAGGAAAAAGTCCTTCAATTTGTTCACGCTAAAATTTGAGGGTTGAATTTTGATTTGTTTTTAAGTGCACTTCATTTCATTGGTCAAATGGAGGCAACTGATTTTTCTTTAAAAACTCTGTTTTTGCTATTTCGACTGTTTCGGAGAATTTAATCAAAAACTAACTTACCAAATTGAAGATAAAGGGTTTAATCGAAAGAAAAGGTGCCAAAAAATTTCTCTGCAGAGCGGGTACGCTCTGACTTCGATTGAAAAGCTATTTTGAATTTAAGTAAACTCCATGCTTAAGAGTCAATGAACTTAGTAATTACTCTTATACAGGTCCTGGTGATTTTTTTGTTTTTTTTTAGGAAAAAGCCGTGAAATTTACTGATGCTCAAATTTATTTTTCGGGGTTTGACTTTTGATTTTTCATCATGTTCCATTCATTTTCAAACTTCACTATCGAACATTAAAAGTGTTGAGGTGACTTCTAATTGCGAAAGAGGATTTTATTTTTCAGAATTTTCAGCAATATATTAATTGTACTTATTGATCCAGTTTTCTCAAATTGGCTTTTTTTCGTCAAAAAAATATCAAGAATTAATTGCCCATGAAATTCGAAGAGCCTTAGAGCCAAATGTTTTTAAGAGTCGATGAATTCTGTTCAGAATTTTAGGTCGTTATGGTTTTTTCAGGAAAAGTCTTACATTTTGTTCAGGCTCAAATTCAATATTGCGCGGTTTGATTTTTGATTTCATTTCAAGTTTATTTCTTTTCTTGAAAGGAATTCAAAATCCAGTAACGAGCTGCAAAAGTGTGAAGGTCACGAAAAACGTGATCGACTTTAATTTTGAAAGCTGATTTTGATTTACAGGTTTCTAGTGGAATAAAACTTTTACTTATTTGTCCAGTTTCTCAAATTGGGTATATTTTATTAACATATAAGCTTAAAGGCCATAAAGTTTTTTCTTTGAAACTCGAAAGTTGAAGTTTTTGTTTGTGTTTCCGAATGTCCATTGACTCTTGAACTGTCTTGTGGTTTTGCTTATTAGTTTTATCTGTTCTTCCTTTTACATTTTTGACCCCTATTTACATTTTTGACCCCTATAGAGCTACTTTTAGACCGTTTTTTGCTTGTGTTTGCAAAACTGTAGCTTCTGTGTATAATATGGTTTTATTTCAACAAAGTTATGGTTACACTGTTTGTTTCAGAAAAAGACAGTCTGTAGAAGAGCAGAAGGAAACAGAAACTGCCAAGAAGCAGAAAGAGTGGAATGAAAAGTGGGAGGTAATACAAACTAGCCTAATTTTTACAAATGATCTGTTTTTTTGAACGGATGAGCTCATTTTTTTTTAAACAAATGATCCAGATTTCATCTGGATTATACGAGGCTATAAACGAAGTGGTTTATGCTGACTTAGTCGTGCATTTTTTTTGTTTCAGCATTTTAAAAAGGAAAGCTGCAAAATTTTTCTTCGCGCACGTTTTCTTGTTTGTGGTTTTATTTTCCTTCGAAACTCGTTTGCAATTTGCATTCCACAACTAAAGCTCAATTTACGCTTTTTATATTTTACTTTGCATGAAAAGGGCGCGAGTAAAAGTTTGTTCTTCAGTTTCAATGTGGGATTTTGGTTTTTTGCGTATCGCAGCGGATTAGAAAAATTAACTATTGCTACAGTTTTCTCAAAGTGAGTTAGTTTTATCAAAAAACTTCGATCAAATAGGTTCTTGAAACTCACAGAGCTGATGTGCGATATATTTTGCTGTATAAAATTCAAAAAAATCTCAAGATTTCATTTTCATGAAAAGAATTCATTGACATTTTCAATTAATTTTTCTCCTTACAACTAGTTTGAGCTTATTTTATTTCAGCTGCAGCTTTTTTGGTGTCCTAAAAAGCTACCATGTTATTTGCTTTTAGAAAGGACGAGACACCAGATTCGATTCTTGGAACAGCTTCAAGTCCCAAGGAGTCAAAAAGACGAAAAAAGCCAAAGGAATTTTCAAACCACCCAAAGTACGCGCCGAGCAGAGATGATTTTGCCCATGGACAATCCAAGAGCGGTTCATGTGCCCGTTTCTGTTTCTAAGGGCGGCGAATATGTTGCAATATTTGTAACGTGAGCGGTCTCTAAAACAGTTTTTCTAGAAATTATTAGATGTCACTTAGGCAATGTTTGATAATATGTCAACTATTTGTTAAATTTTATGTCATATTTAATTGTTGAGTTCAACTCTGAACTTCAAATTAAAATTGACCCGTCAAAATTTTTCTGCACGCGCCGTTTTGAATTATTTCAAGCTGCTTGACTCGGGATAGTTTTGAGCTCGGTAAATTACGGATTAATATTTGCTCAGGAAAAACAATCAATGTTAGTTAGAACGTTTTCGATTGATTACAATCATCACCAGTCTACAATAAACGTACAATCCAAAGTGTACAAACAGAAATAAAATAAAAAAGAAAAACATAAAAAACGGTATAAAAATAGCGCCGAGAGATCTAAAAAATATATAGATTTCTTTAAGCCATCTTTGATGGGGGCAATAAAGATGTTTTTCTAAAGCTTGAATGTGAGTTCGCGCGACCTGTATTCTTCTTTTCTGTTGATCCTTGGTTTGAGTCGGTTGAGGTTCTGCCTGTCCGTGATGTTGATTTTCGGCCCAACAGTTAATCAATAGTTTCTCTGACGATGGGTTCGTAGAATTGGGGTGGATACTGGTTTGCTTCCCATATCTTCTTTGCCTTTTGAATACCAGTATGGAAATTGTTCCATGTCGATGTGGCATTATAGATGCGGTGAATGCAGCCCTGAATTATGTTGTGTTTGTAACCAATCGGTGCAAGGGCTCTGAAGGAAATGATCAGTCCAGTATCTGTGGGTTTCTGATACCAACTCGTACTCACACATGCATCCTGGCTTTTTACGAACATGTCCAGAAAAGGGATACCGTTGTCTCTCAACCTTTCGATGGTAAATTCCAAGTTGTGATGAAGCGTGTTGACCCTGTCTAAGATGCTGTCGATAGATTCACTCTGCGCAGATCTCAAGATATCGTCTACATAGCGTCCGAAGATCTTTTCCCCTAATGGCCGGAACCGTCTCCTCTTCTTGGCACCAAGTGCAAATTCACTGGTCACCATGCATGTTCTTTATTGCATTGAGTGAGATCTCACTGAATTTACGATGAAACCAGAACTTGCATTTCTTGCACCGTATAGAGTATATTTTCCAAGTAACCTTCTTGGCGCAGACGGGACACATTGTCTTATCATCAGTCGCAGATCTTTCTTGCTCTGTATTGATGGAGTGTGGTTCATCTGAGGCAATGTCATCTTCAAACGGCTTCATCCACACATTGACCAGACTAACCGCCATTGCAGCTCCCATCACGACTCCATCCTTTTGAACGTACCATTTATCGCCACACATGAAGTTGACATCAGTAACTGCCAGTTGCATGAGTTGCTTGCATGTATCTCTGTCGATTTCCGGGGCCGAGTAAGAGTTGTAAAGCAGGTGGCAAGCTATGTCAATGGCCTCCGCAACTGGTACGTTAGTGTAAAGACTTTTCACGTCTAAAGAAAAAATCTCTTCGTCGTCCAGCAATTGTACGTCCGTGAGTCTCTTTTTCATGTCAGTGTTGGATGTTTCAATATTGGCACCAGGGACCCGACGGAACAAATTAGCAATCCACTTATTGATCTTATCATAGCAGCTACCAGGTAAAGAGAGCACCGGTCTAAGGGGGGTTGCTTGTTTGTGTACTTTTGCCAATCCATATAACCTGGCCGGTTGGGCACCCGTAGAACGAAGGTGTTGACAGAGCGACATTGGAATCTTCTCACTGTCGGCAAGTTGCTTCAGTGTTCTGTTGAACTGGTCTTCCACTTTCAAAGTAGCCTCTTTCCGTGAGGTGGGCAAGATCTCAAATTGAGGGCAGTTTAGGATGTCATCCAACTTAGAAAATTTAGTCAGCGTCGGACATCAGGCAAAAACCCGCTCCTTTGTCGAACGGTACGGCTTTGATGTTCTCTTTTCGAAGATAGCTATTTATTTTTCTAAGGTTCGAGTCTTCATTTCCGTGAGTACGTTCACTTCATAAAACTTGTCATTCTCGATATCATTAGTTTTCAAGTTGTACAGGAGACGATCCACATCTGCTAAGAAGTTTAAGTCGCTAAACTTGTCGCACACTGGGTGTTTCGGCACTTTGATGTCTCCCACAATCTTGACAGTATTCTTTACATTGTGGAGGGGTTTTTCTTGTTCGCTGGAAAGACTTTCAAGCTTTCTGCGATGCCTATCTTTTATTTCAGACACTAGATCGCGCATGTATTTTCTAGTATGGAACACTATGGAAGGGAGAGTGGCCTCAGACGTGTGTTTGAGAAACTCTTTGCGTGCGTTACCAAGTTTCTCTTTGACTTCTAGGGCTCGAGCACTGGCAGTGCTTATCTCTTTCTTCAATGCTTTCCTGTTGAAGTTATGAATGATGGTAGGCTCAAAACAACCTTCGCAGCAATGCGGAACTTGAGAAATTGTGGGGTCAAATAGTTTCTCAGACAAGGGTGAAGGAAGTCAACACGGTACTTGTTATGTATGTGCTTACGCAAGCTACGTAGATATCGCACAAAATATCTCCAAGTGTCGTTTTTTTTCCAGAAGTATGGTAGAGGGACAAGTAAATGGACCATGGTCAAAGAAGCAAAAACACAGATAAAGAACCAGACAAGCACGGGATAGAGAACACGACGGGCGCAAAGGCACGAAAGAAAAAACCGCCTTACCTCTACTGTGTTCCTGCTTTCTTCTTGTTTCGACGTTTCTTAGATAGTTTTCTTTTCTATATTAATATTTGTTTTGCAGTAATGTAATGTAACCCTTTGTTGGACCAATTGAAATCTGTCGAATTGTCAGATTACCAAATAATTTGGCCTAACTCAAATAGATTATGGGGTACAGCAGGATCAAACTAATTGCTCTGCGGCATTTGTTTGGAAACCCAGTGTATAGTGTATCAACAAGTGTTGGTGAAAAGTGAACCTTTCTTATTGTTCCGACTTTAGGCTCGATAGCTTTCGTCCTATATTATATCAGCTTATTGGCCTCATTTTGTGTCATTCGACGATCGAAAAAAAAATTTGTGTTTGTTTTGGGGGTGAGGGAGACGAATTTTTAACGGCTTTAAGGGTTTCTGCTGAAGTATTTTCGGCTTTGTTAATGTTACCGCTTTGTAAATTTCCTTTTGATGCTTTCGTATTCTATGTCTGTGCATGTTTTAAAACAAGCAGTATTCATTTTGATGGATATAGTTTTATCGACATTTCGGTTTTGTTTCCAGCTTAGTGGCTTTCTTGATTTTTATCGCAAGTGGTAGCTTTCGTCCTATATTATATAAGCTTAGTGGCCTCATATTGCGTCGTTCGACGATCGAAAAAAATTGTGTGTTTGTTTTGGGGGTGAGGGAGACGAATTTTTAACGGCTTTAAATGTTTCGGCTGAAGTTTTTTCGGCTTTGCTAGTGTTACCGCTTTGTAAATTTCCTTTTGATGCTTTCGTATTCTATGTCTGTGCATGTTTTCAAACTAGCCGTATTCATTTTGATGGATATAGTTTTATCGACATTTCGGTTTTGTTTCCAGCTGAGCGGCTTTCTTGATTTGTATCGCAAGTGGTGCGAAGCTCAGCTTCACCTCTGTGTTAATACTTGATAGTTTTAATAGGAGAAAAGTTTATGAGTGATGAAATATCCCGTATTCATAATTGTTCCAAATTGAATTGAGACAAACTAACTTGTCATATGAATTCCATATACGATTCAAATTTGAGCACTTATCATTTGGTATATTGGAAGTCCAAAAATTATTGTTTATCTTGAAACTTGTTAAAGGGCAGTCGGCTTCGACCTGATGTACAAGCAGCCGGGTTGATTCAAATGATTTGATAGGAAGCTACAGTTAGATAGTGAGCAAAAACGAGAGCAAAATAAACTCAATATTTTTTTTCGATATCACGGGTTCTGTATTTTGTTTTCGACTTTTGACAAAAAACGGAATAGTTGTGCACGATGTGATTTTTTATGGAGACAAATTTTAGCTATCAAAATAATTGATTTTAATGGATTCTTTTTGATCGTCTCAAAAATAACGATGACCTCAGTTATAAATTTACACTTTCTCCTGCGGTATTCTTTTTATACACTTACAAACTAATCAGGCTCTTTTCGTTTTCAAAATTGAATTCACGAAAACTAATTGCTTCCAAAATTTCGTTGATAGTGCCGAAAATTATCAGCATTGCTGTACTCTTACTTGTGTATTCTAATCTGTTCTAATCGAAAATAGTTGAATCTAAGACCTACAGAAATTTTCCATAAATCTATTATACTCGATTATAATCACATGAATTTCGAAAACAGCAATCATGATTAAGAAAACAGGACCAGGTATTTTTCTTACTTAACAGTTGTGAAAATTGATTATAAAAAATTGATTTTTAAAGAGTCAATGAACGTAGTGAAGACTTTTATACAGGGTGTGATGATTTTTTCCAGGGAAAAGTCTGAAAACTTGTTCAGGCACCCATTTGATTTTTCCCGGTTTGACTTTTGATATACTTTTAAGTTCAGTTCGTTTCCATTGTTGACAGGAAGGCAAACTCCACTATCGAGGATTAAAATTGTAAAGGTCACGAAAAACGTGATCGACTTTCTAATATAAAAAATGGGTTTTAATTTTAATATTTCCTAGCTGAATAAAAGCCTAACATAATAATCCATTTTCCTCAAGCTGAGCTAATTCTATCAAAACAAGTTTCAATCGAAGCTTGCTCTAGAATTTCGAAGAACTTAGAATCTACGAGTCAGTATTTTTTTTTCAAATTACTTGCTTTCATTGATTCTTGTTCAATTGTCGGTAGGCTATTTTTATTAAGACTAACTTTACTACGAAGGTTTTGCCAGCTTGGGGATCTTCGGATTCGCAGGTGGGTGCATTAGTCTAACTGCGGTTAAAACGTTTCGTAAATTTAGAATAATTTCAATACTCGAATTGCTTATGCGTTGCGAATTAACCTGCACTCATAATCATTCTAAAATAGAGCGAGAAATTAAATTGGTCATATTAACTCTAAATGACTCAAACTAGAGCGCTTATTATATGATATTAAGCACTAACATTTATGTTCAATCAAAATTTAGCGCTTAATGGTTGATATGCGGAAATCCAAAATTAATAATTTGACAAAATCTCAGCAGAAAGTATTCGAGGACAGTTAAGGGGCAGTCGGAACAATCAAGACTTTGTCCTGATATACGACCAGTCTTGCTCAGGACATATTGTTATTATTTTTTTTGTTCAGGAAGAATGGTCACGTTTGTTGGTTTGCTGTTTTGGTGGTTCGAGTTTTGATTTCGATTCAAATTAAATCTATTTAGTTTTACTTTACTCAATAAAAGGCCCACGCAAACGACGCAATAAGTGGAGCTTGAATTCTAGTTTCAAATTAAATTTTTCAAATAGAAATTGGAAACAATCCTGACTAGGGTGATTTGGCAATAAGTGTGCATAGGGTAAGTTTGTCTTTAGTTTGTTTGCTTAGAGTCAGTGCAGATAGTGCGGATTATAATTTTCCGGATAATGCGAAAAATTTTAGATTTTTTGTCCAGATTTTTGGTTTTGAAGATAATTTTGGACTACAAATACTTCGATTTTAATCAGTTCGGGTCTAAAAATGTTAGTTTGCACCGTCTGCTGTAAGTTTTTTCGAGCCGCGTGAAATTGTAGGGAGCAGCTGAGTTGTAGTGAGTAAAAGCTGAGTTGTAGTGAGTAAAAGTTGTAGTGAGTAAATTTCATTGAGTAAAAGACTGGGTTTGCATTTACTTTTTGTTCTTTAATATGGAATGTCCTGTCAGTTCTACTCAAGTTTTGATGAATGAAATGAGTTTTCACTTGTGTCGTGTTGCTTTAGTAAAAATGAGTTTTGTATTGGTTTGAAGGTCCTAAAATCCTTTAATATTTTTTCAAAAACTTTCAACTCAATTTTGGTCGAATTTCGTTTCAAAACACAGTTTTAATGAATTTAATGCACGAAAAAAGAATCTTTATTTGAAAAATTGAATTTAAATGAAGCTCGAATAGTGTTAGCAATTGTTTTACAAAAGGTCGCTTTGAGTTTTCAGGAGTTTCTATTAAGCGGACGTAATATAGGTACAACGTAGTAAAATTCTTAATTTTTTTCAAAAGCAGGAAAATAATGGAATAATGTTCGGAGCTTCAATATCGATTTAGCTAATTAAAATAAAATTTGAAATAAGTTATAAAAATGTCATATCAATTTTTTTCTCTTTTTTTTACCGTGAAGTATTGGCCGATCAGAAACTTTGCTGCGCAAGTTGGTGTTTCAAATTGAAGCAGAAAGAGTTATTAAACATACAAGTTAATAAACAGACAAGCTAATAAACAGCTGTAAATATGACTTAAATGAGTTGCGAAGTAATTTAACAGCAACAGATGATTTTCAGCTCATAATAATATTATAATAAATTGTTTCCAAACGATATCTAGTTACAAAGTTGTTTATAAAAATTTATAAATACAAATTATAATCGTTTGGGAGAATACCATTAAGCCAACATGGCCCGTTTTCAGGTATCTCATTAAGCGGAGAACAAGAAAAGTAGTTAAATTCTTCGATCCAATGCAATGGACCTTCTATCGGTAAACATTTATTGAACGTAAAGCCTTTTTATTCGCACCGTTAAACCATTCTCTATATAAAAAAAATCAATTTTATTTTTTTTTGTTTTCTCGGGTTGTCTTTTCTACCCTCAACCTAGGAACCAACAGAAACAAGTTCTACTTATTGATCATTAAAATGTCTCAAAGCATGCCCAGTAAAACCGTATTTCCTAGAAAGTTTTTATCCGAAATATTTAAGATTAAAACTATTTAATTGAAAATGAGAAGCCCCATTCAAGAAACTGACCCAGGCCGGAAAAAAAATTATTACAAAGTTAAACATTGTTCTAGTTTTTAGGTGTAATCGACCCTCTGTTGAGTTTGATTCTATTTATAGCTAACTTTTGATTTGGTTTTCTCTTTGAAAATATCACGTTTACTTCTTGTTCACTAATGGAGTATCTCAAGGTATCAACTTGGCACTCTTTTTGAATAATTTTCTCGGTTAATTTCAGAACTTCGTACGCAAAAAATTCTCTTACGGTATATATTATATTTTCATGCATTATTTCAGTGATTGAATCCATCCTGTGTTTATGCAAAATTATTCTGATTAGCCTTCCGATTTTCATTTCCAGTTCTAACAGTTTGGTTTTGTCGCTATTTGCATGAACTAAAACTCCATATTGGATGATTGGTTGCACATAACTTTTATACGCAAATACTAATTGCCGTCCCGTTAGAAACTTTCTCAATTGAAAAAACGCTCCACAGAATTGCAAAATTTTGTTTTTTACCTTATCAATATGCTGATGAAAATTCAATTTACAGTGAAGGTGAATTCCAAGATATTTAAAACATTTTACATCTTCTATTTGGGTGTCATTTAAAAAATATTTGACTGGTTTTTTTCAGTTTTTTTGCTCCGACAGCATCTCATGGTCTTGGTTTTTTTGACATTCAGTGTCAATTTGTTCTTGTCTAACCAATAATTTACTTCAAGCAAAGCCGATTGATGTGCGAAAGCAATATAGTCTTTGTTGTTTGTGGAATTCAGAACAGTGTCATCAGCATACAAAAGTACCCTTGTGTTTTTGTGGCTATCTGTAAATCGTTTATATAGAGCATGAACAAAAGCGAGCCAAGGATACATCCTTGAGGTACACCAAAAGACACAAGTTTAAGTTCGGTCTTAAAAGAGTTATTTTCGATGAACTGATAGCGATTGTCAAGGTAAGATTCCAAGAGATTTAAGACAGGCTCTTTGAATCCCATATGTTCCAATTTTGTTAACAGGTTAGAGTGATTAACTCCGTCAAAAGGCTTTGTTAGGTCTAAAAAAGTATTCTGAACAGTTAGTTTTTTGTTCGATAGCGATGTTGAAACTTCTGCCAACAATGTAAGGATGGCGTCAACAGTGCTTCTTTTTGATCTGAAGCCAAATTGAGTGTTTCGGTTTCGGATGATATTAAACTTGTCTACATATGATTGGCTCGTTTAAAAATTAGACGCTCAAAAATTTTGCCCAGAACTGGAAGAAGCGAGATTGGTCTATAGTCTGAGGGGTCCTTGTTGTCTCCCTCCTTGAAAGTTGGTGCAATTTTTAAACAATTTGGATAGATTCCTGAGGTTAGGCAGTCATGAAAAATTTCAGCCAAAGGGCCTGCTAGTATATTTTTTAAATGCTTGACGAGAACAGTGTTGATATCATAGCAATCTATACTATATTTATTTTTTAGACTTTCGATGACTTCAATGATTTCAATTAAATCAATTTTTTTTCAAAAACAACGATTGTTGCTGACGGATAACATTATTTTCAATGCAATTTGGTATGCTTTGTGAAAGTCTGGCGCCAATATTTGCGAAATAATCGTTAAAATGCTCAGCGTCCCCCTTCGATAGATTCAGTGATTTGGAATTTTTCCCTTTACCTGTCATTTCCTTTTTTCGTTTTACAACTTTTCGTTTTACAATTAGATTCAAGCATCAATTTATTTTGATAGTAATTTCGTTTTTTACTGATGATTAGGTTTTTGACAATTTTATTTTGGGAACAATGTTTGTTCCGGGCTTCCGTTGCTTTTTTGCTGATGCATTTTTTACTTCATTGTCAATCCATGGATGTTTATCTGATTGTACTAGTAAACGTTTTGGAAAAAAAGTATCAACTGCCTTCACAAAGATCAAATTTATTTTTTCTAAAATCCGAGAAGACTTTTGAGGGTCTTCGGGTTTCCATAGCTGCATACATTTGCCAATCTTATGCTACAAATAAAAACTTAATTTCTCACTTAAATCCCTGTTTCTCAACTTGTTCCAGTTTCTAGCAAAAATTTTGTCAATAAAAGCTTGTATTTTATATGCATAAAAACATGTTACATTTGCTTCTATAATTTAAATTGTTGAACCGTTCGTTCTTACAATATACCAATTTTTCAGTTGGTTTCTGTGCTTGGTGTGTTTGCGTGAGCTAACCAGAGCGAGTAGTTTAATGGAGCTTTGGACGCAATGCGTTTGCCAGTCTAGCAATAGACTTCTCTGTGAACTACTTTTTTATACCATCAGTCTATGGCAGAATTTTGTCAAACAAAGTTATAATCTTAATTATCGCTTTTCAGCGTTTGTCTTTTAACTAACCAACAGCATCTGTGGCAGTTTTTATACTACTTTTGCTTTTAGAAAATTAAAATTGACTTCAGTTTTCAAAACTTGAAAATAAGCTTTGAACAGCTAGCCAAATAACCCGAACTTATCATATCCTTAACTTACTTATTAAATTACTGTTACCTACACAAATTTCCTATATTTTTCAAATTTATTTTTTATTAGTAGCTGTTTTATATTGATGCTTTTTCATTTCGTTACGCAATTTCTTTGAATTGTCATACGTTACACAATTTCATTTCGTTACGCAATTTCTTTGAATTGTCATACGTTACACAATTTCATTTCGTTACGCAATATCTTTGAATTGTTATACATTGCACATTCTGTTATTAAATCATGGGGAAATTCTGGTCTCATTTTACTCCTAAATTGGGCTTGTTGATGTTCATCGGGACACTCGGTGGCTTTCTGTTCGGATACGACACAGGAATAGTGTCGGGCGCCATGATATTCGTCGCGGAAGAGTTCAATTTGTCACATGGTATGCACGAGGTCAGTAGTTGAGATAAAACTGTTCGACGTGTTGTTTTTGGACAGGCATACCCGCTAAAAAGGCCGCCCGATCGTTTGCTGAAGTGCCTTTTTAATGGTCCTTTTCAATGGGATTGGAAATAATAAAATTTCGAAGCGCGAAACGGTTTTAACTTACTCATGTCGTGTGACTTTCATAGAAATATTTCTTCAAAATGTTAGCGCTCAATATTGTTTGTTATTCCGACCACTTCAAGTACGAAGGAACTATGGCATAGGCTGTTTGCTCCAACTCATTTTGTTCACCTCAAAAAACTCGATGGTCAAATGCGATATCATGTTGAAGCCCTATTAGTCGTGATTCGGATTCCCCCCAAAAAATCGAAAAGTTTATTAAGTCGAGGAAAGCTGGTGTCTGAGCTTTTTCAATTTTAAGACCAATTTGATGTGACACTGAAATTGATGACACTGCATTTGAGCCTAATTCAGTTCAAAATCAATGATTTCTATTTCATCTTAGATATAGTTACATGTATTTCTGAAGAAAAAGAGGTCTAATTGCTATTAAGTGTAGCTGACGGCTAAGATAGTTTTTGAACTATATTTAAGCTTTTGTTATCCAATATTTCAACACTAAAATCAATCCTCAAAAAACGGCCGCAAAATTAAAAATTTCGAAAATGCTTCTTGTAAAATGCACTGTAGTTATAATTTTAATTAATATATCTTGTATAAATTTTTTTTAGGTTGTGGTGAGCATAACTTTGTTGTCGGCGGCGCTGCTTCCATTAAGTGTGGGTGGAATGTCGCACTATTGTGGCAGGAAGACCCTCTTGGTCATCTCAGCGACTCTCTTCTCAATCAGCTCCTGTGTGATTGCACTGGCAGCTAATGTCACCATGCTACTCGTCGGACGACTCATAGTCGGATGCGCTATTGGTCAGTTTCATATTGAACGTCCAAGTCGGTTTAAGTACTACTCAAAAGCAAAGAAAGAGTTGCATTAATTTTTTAAAGATCGAAAACAAAACTTTTAAGTTGGCCTGTTCGATAAATTGACCAGTCTGAAACTGTGGAAATTTTTCCTATGTACGACAATCAATCTGTACATTTTAATTTTTTGTTGTTTTATACAGTGCTGGTTTAAATTATCCGGACAAAATGAACAAAACTTGATTTTTCAAACACGTTTTTCTCAAATTGGGTTAAGATTAGACAAAAAGTGAAAAGATCAAAAGTTGCTTAGAAATTCCTCAGAATTAAAATCGTGTAATGTACGCTGAGTTTACTTTGTTAATTGATAAGAACATTATATCACAAGAAGCCTTTTACACAGCCCAACAGAGTTTAAGAAGGGTTAACTCTTCAAAAATTTACGCAAATTGTTTAAAATTTGTTTTTGAACAGAGGTTCTGGGTTTTATATAGTAAAAATCTCATTTATTGACTATCAAGTAAAATTTATTTTATTCTAGTTTTTGGAGATTTAACCCTTCTTAAACTTTGTTAGGCTGTGTAAAAGGCTTCTTGTGATATAATGTTCTTATCAATTAACAAAGTAGTTTCAGCGTACTTTTTGATTATTTGAGAAAAAAAACCAAAGTGACCCATTTATGGGGTAAAATTTTGGTTGAGAATTTCGGAGAAAACATTACACCATATTAATTCTGAGAAAATTCTGAGCAACTTTTGTTCTTTTCCCTTTTTGCCTAATCTTAACCCGATTTGAGAAAAACGCGTTTGAAAATTCAAGTTTTGTTTGTTTTGTCCGGATAATTTAAATCAGCACTTGATTTAATTGTATCTTGCAGGAATTCTTTCAACCATCGGGCCTATTTTCATCTCCGAGTGTTCCCCGACGTCTGTGAGGGGGACCCTGGTCACGTGCTATAACTTCAGTATCATTCTCGGGCAGTTCTGTGCATATGTAGTTGCACTCATATTCGCAAACGTCGAAAACACCGGTTGGAGGTAATTTTGGAACTAACACACTTCATCCTCATTTAGCACGTGAATGAAAAAAATTCCTGTCGTGTAATAGTAAGTTGTTCTTTATCATCTTGAAACACTCAAGAATTGGTTACAAAATGTTTCACAAACTGACCAATAGCGCATCCGACTATGAGTCGTCCGACGAGTAGCAATCTGACAAAATACGCGAAATTCACGTGAAATTTTGCCATACATATCTTTTTCATAGACTTTAATAACAACTTCGATTCTTTTCTGAAGTTGATTTGACTCAAATTTGGAGTTGAGTTCAATTAAACCTTAATTAATAAGATAAAAGTAGTTACATTAAGTTTGGGCCAGATTTCTGGACTTTGACCAACTTCAGAAGTGCTGTGTAAGCTTTAGAAACCACGAATATGTGCTTACGGTTATCTATAACTATTCCAGGTGCATAGGTAAACGCCCAACCAATAGCTAATAGATTTCATGGTTATGTTCAATAAACCGAAGTATCATTACTTAACAAGGCAAGCAACAATTAGGCAATAATCAAAATACGCGAAATATGCATTCATAGATTTGTAGAAGAACAATTCTGGGGCAAGTAATTTCTTATTGCAGCTTGATAGATCTTTAGATACTTAGTTTCTTAGATTTTATTTATCCATTTTTTGGTTAAATTTAATCAATTTTCACTTTCTAAAGTCACTTAAAATGCTATTTTTGAAGTAATTTCAGCTTAACGAGCTAATCTACCATTCTTGATTCACTTAAGCATGGATCTTCTCGTATTTTGTCAGATTTCGAAGAGCCTTATAAATTAGAATTTCTTAACGAATCTTCTCAGAATAGAATCTTAAAAAGAAAAATTAAATTACTACAACTGAACAAGTAATCATAAAGAATGTTGTGCGAGTTTTGAACTACATTACGACCTTCACATGAAATCGGTAATCATCGTCGTCGTCTTCCAATTGGAATAAATCGGATTGGTCGGAATTGATGAGTCAGACGGTGACAATTGAAAAGTAAGGCGAGCTGTGGGGATGGAATGTTAGCAACATGCGACTGTTCACTCTGGTCTTACAGAGGGGACAAGAATTATTGCTCTTCATCCACTGTTTGATGCAGTCGCTGTGATAGGAGTGTGAACAGTTCCGCATCTGGACCACTCTCTGTTTTTTGTGCTTGCCTATCCCTGACAAAGCGGTGGCTGAGAATATTCTCTGTTTGTACATGTTGGACCAAGATACAGACCGTGATTTTCGAGTGCCTCCGGGTCCCTCGACTGTGTTTCCGCCCGACGTTATCACTCCCTCCGCCGCACTGTTTGAGGGGTCACCCCCGCCACTAGTAATGTTGGACTCTAGTTCGTTGTTGATAGTAAGGGATCCGTGGTTTTTACTCTGAGTTGGACTTGATAAGTTGAAAAGACTGCAGCTTTCGGCACTTAGCGAAAGGGTTTCAGACATCTTATCCGAGTCGAGATGACGTAAGCAGATGACGCATTTGTCTTCTGAGGGAAAGTGCCGATTGGTCTTGTAACCTAAAAAAAGTCAGGTCTGTTAAATATTACTTGTGATAAATTGGTAAATAGTTTCTGAGATTATTTGTGATATATTAGTAGAGTGGATAATGACAGCTATGTGATTCTGAATCACCGCTTAGCTAAGTGATCTCAAGCTCCATCTCTATTGAATCGGAAGTTTTAATGAAAAATTTTGACAATCAGGTGTTCCTAAACAAGAACTACGTTATTGAAACTTAACGAATGATCTTATGGTTCGATCATTCTTTCAAGGGTTACAGGAAAGGACTTTAAGCTGTGGGTTTTTTAATTTTAATTTATTTGACTTAGAATTACTTTTTTATTTTAACTTAATAATTTTTTGACCTGGTGAATTTAGGAACTTTGGTTTTTTATTCAGTCAAATTTCGATTTCCTAGCTTATCATATTTCTTGATTTTTTACACCATCTGAAGTTTTTTCACATGTGAGTTTTTAGAGTTATGGGGATTGAAAATAGCCTAATTGGCCTATTTGGAGTAATTAACGCGCGATATGTTAAGTTTTTTAACACGCGTAAACGACGAATTAAATACTTCCAAATTGAATCGAACCAAGCAAATAGTATTATTAATACGGTGAGAGACACACACATTGATATATATATATATATATATATGTGTATAAATAAATGTTCTTTTATATATTTTTATTTTTTATCTTTTTTTACAACTTGATATCCAATCTACAGACTTTATCTAATCTGCTTTTTGTATCAACAACATCTCTACTTAGTAGTGACTCTATATATATCCTTTTACACGGTGTGTGGAGGGATAAATGAAAGACAAAAATGAAAAAATATATATTCTTTTTTTTTTCGATTTTTTTAAATGATTTTTGTCTACTTTTTTAAACAAAAACTTCTTGTGCTTTAAGAGGCAGTCTGATCATTCAGGGCTTTGCCATGATATACGAGCAGTCTTGTTTCGTTTGTTCATGTGAAGTTCTGTTTTGAAGTTCCAAATGGAATAATTAATAAAGTTGCAAACTAAACCACCATCAGATGTATTTCATATTCAAAAACATTCAATATAGCATTAAAAAATTTCGATAAGTAAAAGTCAATTAGACGCTATTTTTTTTGAACAGTGAGCGCGAAAAAAATGAGCTCGAATTTCATTGCGCTTTTATCAGACTTTTTTGGCATAGTAACCTATGTCGGCTTGTGGAACACTAATCTGTGATAAAAATAAAATCATTGAAGCTTAAATACTTGATAAAATTTTTCGTCAAGATAACCATAGATGACGACTACTGTATTGCATTTTTGCAATACAGTAGTCGTCATCTAAGCCGTCAAAACTTAGTTTTACTCAAGTAAAGGAAGTTTTTTGAGTTTTTAGCTCAATTTTTCTTAGCAAAAACTTAAACAAATTTTTGAAATTTTCATTTTTTTTTTTCGTTTTTTTAGTCATTTTTCTTCAAAAACTTATGACTCTCAAATATTCCTCAGTTCTATTTTTTGTTCAGATTTTTCATCCCAACATGCAGAAAAAAACGACAACAATTTGAGAAAATTTTTTTGTATTTTTTCTGAGACTGTGGTAACCGGCTTTCCTTGTTTTGTTTTGATTTTTGTTCCGATCATGTGAAGAAAGTAACCCGAAAGGATTTTTAGGTAAGGGGGTGCTTTTCTCAAATCAATTTTTTGAGTAATTTGATGAAAGCTCCGAATTGGAAAGTATATTGTCATTTTAGATCCTTATTGGTATTATTTCGGATTCCAATAAAAATCTCCATTTTTGTCTCGGTGTTGAGATAAAGGGGTTCAAAAGTTTTTAGTTTTAGACCAAATAAGACCACAAAACATCGGCATGAAAAATGTTATTCATGTCAGTTTTGGTTTTGAGGTCATTTTTTTAAACGTTTACTAAACTATTTTGCCTGGCACCTCAAGTTCCAAAAACTGAGCTAAATTTGCATTGGTACGTTCTTTCAAAAATTCTGCCAGAAGGGATCAAATAAACAATAAGGTGAACGAAAAAAAGCAGATTTTTTTTGAAATTTTTTGACTAGTGATAGTTGCAACTGGATACTAGATTTTGTTTCTCGTAAATTAATTTTGTTCACAGTACTTGTCTCCTGGACTGATCTCCTGTTCCTCCTTTAAGGAATGGTGCAGAAATTATTTTTTGAGCATGATTGCAATTTTAATATCCGTGTTACTCGAATTTTGTTTGTCATGTTAGTTATAATTTTACCAAATCGAATTCATTTTTTGTTTTTTATTTTCCTGACTTATAAGTTTCTGCTCCCAATATTATATTACGAGGTCAAGCTGTGTATGTTGTGAATTATAAACGGATTCCGCTATGAGACAGCGCTTTGATTTTTATTTGATCTTGTGTTCCCTTTGATAGCGCCGACAAAAATTTAACGTGTTTTGAGACTTGTCTCTGGATTCTAGTGACCTACACACTCCTTAATTTGCGCCTATCGAGTTCAAAGTTTGGCCTCATAATGTATATTGGCCTCATTTTGCGTCGTTTGATGCAAAAAATTTCTGTGCGTGCGTGTTTTGAGATGGAGGGGTCTTTGAAACTTACAGACATTGGAGTTTTTATTCGGCTTCATGTTTTTGCTCTGGAATTTTTGGCTTGCTTGCAGTTTGGTAAATTTTCGTCCGATGCTTATTTCATATGCGATTGACTTGGCTATTGTTTTTTTTTGACATTTTCGAGTTTTTTTACTTAGCGGCTTTCTTGTCTTCTATAGCAAGTGGTGCGAACTTTCGCTTCATCTCTGCGTGAAAATTTCGCGTCTTCATTGAATTGAAGCTGAGGTGAGGTTAGCCAATTGAGGTGGAAAAGTTTTTTCTTTCGACTTTTGAAGAAAGGGAGGGAATATTAGAGCACGAGGTTTTTTTTCTTCAGATAAATTTAAACTAGCTCCTTTGATCAGTTTTTATATCATCTGAAAGCTATTAACGCCATGGTCGAATTTTAAAAACAATGGTTCATCTGTGATCATTTTAGTAGTGTTATGAGGGTATAGAAACTAGCTTAATTGGGACCACATGTTGTGAAAGTTTCATTAATTTTATCGAAAACTATTTCGTTGACATTAGAGGACAGTCCCCAAACATTCAGGGCTTTTTATTGACAAGTCGCAAAATATAACCCCCAATAAAAGACAACTTGCAATGTGCTCACCGCCACTGTCGCGCCCATTGGGTACCTTTATCCTAAATTCTTAATTTATAATTTAATTTTGAATCTCTGCGGGTTGTCGCTTTCCTTAAAGTTTGCGAGTGGTCTTTTTTTTCTAGCTGTCTTTTGCTCCGAGTTGTCGCGGTACCATTTTACAGAACTAAAAATTCGTTCAACTATGTTTTTAGTGAATGTCTATGTCATATAGGATTTTACGAAAAAGGGGCTTAACTGTCATAAAATTAAAAATAGTGCTCAAGATGGCTTTCACTTGGTCAACTGGTGTGAAATATGAGAGGCAACAATTCGTATTAAGCGACAACTCGTAACTGTAGATTGAGCGGCAAACTCTGATTCACGCGCTCTATCCCTCTCATGTCGAATGTAAGCGTAGCGGAGCAAGCGGTCGCTCCTTGTCAACAATTTCAAAGGAATTTTCGCCTGCTACGAATATTTTTGACCAACTGGAAAAGGAATTAGATGCTCTTCTTCAGACTTCACCAAAAAAATTGCATGCATTTCTTAAGCATGAGCACAACAACGGTTCTCTGTGATCAACTGAACAGCTCGTTTTTTGGTCCTTTTCCTTTTCCTTGTGGATAATTGGTCTTAACTTACCCTTCTGACTTCCGAGTTTGCACCTGCAGCCACTGAGGTAGATAAGACATATCATGAAGATGGCGACGATCAGTGCCGGCATCAACAGCAACACTATCATGTTGGCACTCGTCATCTTGGGAATATCGCCACTCCCCACCACGCCTCTACCCTCTCCCCCGGCCCCGTCGCCGCCCCCTCCGTGCATACCGCCGACTGTGCTCATTGGTAATCACTAATGTAACTGACTCCGATTCCTCTGTTAATATCAATTGCTGATAGCTCAACCAATCAGAAGTCTTACCTGATGGGAAAGGAACCGCGACGGAACTATAGCAAAGCTCAACAATTATAAACAAAAATTAAAACAAAGGTAAATTTATTTGTTTAAAAAATCAAGTAAAATTTACTGTGAATTGAATTTTTGGCTCAGTAATTAACTTGAAATGTGTCGTTGTCGAGGATTTCAATTAAGGCTGGACCGAATATTATATTGAATGGTTTTTGAGGTATTGCAACAAGGACTCAATTTAAGTTATTGTCAAACGAATAATCGCATTTTATATTGTAATTTGAGGTTCGAGTGGAGCCTAGTTTCGATATGCGTGCAATTTGAGATCAAATTAACTTCGTAAACTTTAAGAGACTTTTATATTCAAATGTTTTGTTGGTTCTGTGAGTTCGGTTGCTACCAATTTAAATTCATTGCTTAAAGACAAATATGTTGATTTGTCATATGATGTGTATTTAATAGATGCCGATTACTTCGATAAGGAAATGTTTCTGGAAATTAGGATACTTCGTCACAAAATTTTGAGGTCAATCTTGAGTTTTGAAAAGAATTCAGAGTTTTTGCCTCGATTATAAGGCGTGGGTCAAAAATGTATGATAGTGTTATAAGAGCGGAATCGAAATTTGACGTTTAATGTATTTTGCAGTTACTTAATTGTACATAGGTCGATAAGGTCTCATTCGCAAACCGAAATTTGGGTTCGATAAATGTGTATCAAATTTAGTTATGAACTTTCGGCTATTGATAATAACTTACTCAGATGAAGCTAACCAAGTTTAAGGTCTGAGTTTGGTTTTGAGGCGAAATGAGAATCAGAACTTTCTCAAAGGTTGAAATCTCAGCTAATGGTTATGCAACCAAATTAATAACTCTTACTGCCAACTAACTAGTGATGGGAGTTCGTTCGAAGTTATAATAAGAATTATTAGCTGTGCTTTGCTGCAAATGGTATTTCAAACAAAGCACCCTCGTTTATGTTTGCCCAAATACATCACCCTGAGATGTTTTCAGATGTGCAACCTCTGCTAGGCTCTGATGTCAGTGGCTGTTAAGAGTAAAACACCCCCTCACCAAATTGACACTGAAACTTACCAAACTATGCGGGCTATTCCCATGCGCGAAGGACCGAATGTGCGGAAATTTTAAGCCAATCATCAATGCCCCTTAAACTGCTCTAACTGACTGATTTTATAGCTTTCCTTCGAACATGTGAATTACGAATTCTGATAGGCTGACATATATTTTCGCGCACAAACCCCAACCCCACCCCCCAAAGAAAAACTTCTCGTCCACGCGGCTCTAAGTTTGAAAAATTTGTTATTCTACGAAAATTTTTATTACTGATTTGATTTTATAGAACAGACTTTTTGGATTTTCCCGCCGAAGGTCTTATCTTAAAAAATTGACTAAAGTTCCGAAAGTTGACTGAATGGAATATGCTCCTCTGCTTGCACAGTAACTGGCTAGTCTTCTTTCAGTTAAATCCGTTTTTGTGTCATAAATTTGGGATTTTTTCAGTGTTTTTCGATATTCATTAAAAAATCTTTTTCCATGAATAGGGATAGTTTTTTTTAGTTTTCAGGCAGAAAATAAATTGAAATGCAGGGGATTTTTAAACAAAATTCACAATGTTTTTGGATTACTTAGTGTATTTATGCTTTCATCTGTCTGTTGGCTATCTTTTTTATTAATAGTTATGAGCTAGGGAAGTTAGCTCAAATTCCTTCTTTTTGCTGCCACTGAAACATTTAAAAACAAAGATAAGAACAGCCAAGTTTCTACAGCCAAAGTAATTTATTCCTACTGCAGTTTTTAACAGCAAAATTTCGATTGAATTTGGGTGGAATTGGGTAGCTTGGAGGCGAAAATGCTTGTAATAATAGTAGTTCAAGTTTATTCGGAGATTTTTAGACTTAATTTAAGTTTGACTCTTTAAGGATTTTGGAATTAATCAAAATTTGCCTGAACTCATTCAGATCATTTTAAGCCACCAGTAACTTTTTAATTCCTTCTACAATAACTAGGAGGTTTTTTTATCATTCAGAACGGAGTTGTATCGACTAGCATCAAGCTCGACTTGCATAAAAACTTAAAATTGAAAAGCGTTTCGACTAGCCTAAAAATCGAAACAAAAAAATCAAAAATTGTCAAAATTAAAATCAGTGTACACATAAAGCATATAAGTGCAGTTTTCTGCACCTTTCACAAATTGCGCGGCAATCAGTTCTCAGATCAATGATCACAGGTCGGTTGCAACGGATCACAATTTATATGACAAGTGATTTTGTTTGCTTGTTGGTTGGTTATTTTTCTATTTTCTACATCAGTTACAATTTGGGAGGATTAGATTGCTGTTATTTATTTCTGAGGAATAAAGCTTTGAAATTATGCTAGTCGATACATTTTCTTTTTTGAAAAAAAAAATTTTATGCTTGTCGAGCGTTATGCGAGTCAAACTTTATGCTAGTCCAACGGTCACCTTCAGAACCATTCATTTCAACCAGCCAAACAAAAGTTTTTTTTTTACCGTTAATTCCAGCTGTTTGGAAGGAATGCGGCAATTCAAGTTAAAAGGAAAAGGAAAATAGGATCAATTGAGCAATCTCCCCCCCGTATTGACCAATTGAGCTATCTCCCCCCCAAGCCAAAACTAAGACACCACAAAAAGGCGCCAACAAACGCAATTAGATGGTTGATGTGTTTATGGCACGCAATCAATTGATCGACTGAAGTTGATTTTATATGAGTATCGAGAAAAATTTTGAAAAAGAAAAAATCGAAAAATTGAAGAAAAAAAATTAATTTGCAAAATTTTATTTGGGCGACTCTTGCCTCTCATTGAGGAAAACGAGTATCAAGCTTGGTGCTCTGAACTTGTATCTGAATACCAAAAAAGCTCTCTTCAGCACCTTACTATTGTACGCAATAGCTCTTTTTTCATTTAGGACAGAAAAAAGTCGCTTTATGTGCCTCAGTTTTATTGATTTTGTTTTCACTCTGAATGTAATTTTTGAGCTTTGATATTGTAAAAGTTGGCGTTCCATATTTGTTGGAGAATCTCGTTCATATTATCATATCATTCAAACTATTTTCAAGTGGTTATAAACATGTCTGAAGTACCTATTGAGCTATTTCCCCCCCCCCCCACTATTGAAATAATTCAAGAATGTATCTGGCTCATTTTGGGTATATTTTGAGTAATTGTAATCAAATGGCCAAAACAGTACAAAAAATCATTGCAACTTGAAAAGCAGACTGAAGTTCACCTGGAAAATAGGCATTATTAATAGTTTTTGTTTCAATGCTAACCATTTTGCTTAAAATGTAATTGAAATTTTTGGAGTTCAATTGTTGCTTCACTAATACTTTTGTATCGTTGACTGAAATTTTTTAGCTGTCAAAGAAGATGTGAAGACACTTATTTGGCTCTTTTCAAATTTGATTTCACGTTGTTTGACTCTTCTTTTTTTAAAATTCGACTCAATTCCTTAAAATGAGGCTTATTATGCTAGCCAATAGCTAAATTGGCGCGAAAAAAATTTTGCATCAAAAATGGACTTCAATTTTCAAGATTCCCTCAGGAATGAAAAATAATTATTGACCTAGTTTTCTGTAATTTGGTTATGATTTTTTGTTCAAATTTAAACATTTTTTTATCAAGGGTCAATGAACGAAGTGAATACTCTTATACAGGTCGTGATGATTTTCTGGGTTTTTTTTTCAAGAAAAAGTCATGAAATTTGGTTTTTCTTGGTTTGACCTTTGATAATTCACCTCTTGGGCTTTGTTAAAGAAAAAGCTAACTCCACTATCGAGTGGAAATTTAAAAATCAGAAAAACGTGATAAACTTATGTTTTCGAATGTGGATTTGAATTTTCAGATTTGCCGGCTAAATAAAATCTTACCTATTGATACAATTTTCTCAAATTGGAATAATTTTATCAACAAATTGCCTATGATAAATTGTTCATGAAATCAAAAACTTAAAGGTCATATATTTAAAAAGAAATTTCAAATTCGATAGTTGAAGTTTTTTTAAGAAAACAAGTCACTAGTTTATTGTTTCCTTGCGTCATTGACTCTGTTTCAACTATATGTTGGGTATGAATCATTGTCATTTCAGTTTTTTGTTGGCAGGCTTCGAAGCTTACATGGCTTTTAGGTTTTTTGAAAACAGTTTTAATTATAAAAATCTTACAGCGAACTACTCATTGAATTTGAGAAACTGCATGATACTTAGTAATCCTGACTTCTCATTAAAACATTATATTGTCATAAGTACTATACCAGAGATACCAACGTTTTGATACCAGAGTAGGATAATAGAATATAATTTGTGCCTGCGGTGAAGATGGTTACTTCTTTTGCGTTCATTATCTCTTAATATTAAACATAGAATAAGAGGTCCCTTCCCCTCCCCTCTAAACCACAGTTAAGTTGAACTTAATTTGGGCTTGATCTTGTCTAAAAGTATTTGTTTTGTTTCTTGATGTGCAATTTGATCATGATTTACAGCAATAGTTCTGCGTCTTAAACATTTTGTCCATATCTTTATCTCACATTTATGTCTTGGTAACTGATTTTATGAAACTACATTCATTTTAAACGTTAATGTAACGGTTATGTGTCGAGCTCGATGTTTATACATAACGAATTGAAACCAATGATTAGAGTGACCATGAATATAAAACCACAACTGAGCTCATGGTATTTTCTTTATTTTGTTATGTAAATATTATAGCGAATTTTATTTGCTTGAATTTGAATTGAAATCATTGTCAAGACAAAAATATGAGCCATTGAGCTAATTCTGTTGAAGTTTAACTGGCGTAACTTCTCCATTTCTTCCCCCTAATAAATTGCTATTTTGAAACCATACATCTGTGATGTGGTTTGTTCTGAATCAAGTTTGAATCATCAGAAAGGCTCCATTAATATGCAATAGACTTGACCAAGCAATTTGGGAGATATTTTAAAAAATGAAAAATCATAATTTCAAAGTTTCTAGAATTATTCTTTGTGAGGGATTTTTCTGATTCGATCGCTAGTTGAAGCATGTTTGTGATTTGTTTAGATTTATGTTCGGACTTGGTGCAGTTCCAGCTATAGTGCAGATACTGGGGCTGGCTTTTCTCCCGGAATCCCCCCGCTATCTGATATCTCACTGGATATCGGAGGGGGAGGTCAGCAGTGAATTGGAGGCCTTTGAAGCACTGGTACAGCTAAGACCCGAAGGATATGACGTGAAAGCAGAGTGTGATCAACTGAAGATTTCACTCCGTCAACAGGGCATAGAAAAGGGTAGGTAATGAATGTCACGTGCAATATTTAGAAGTATAGAGATTTGCAAAAAAAAGTTTGGACTGACAGAATTCATGAAAAAGAGCAACATTGATATTTTGACAAAGTTTCGCGTACAATGTCGATGTTTCAAACTAAACTATCTTGAGACTTGAAATCTATCCAAAAAATTAGCTTTTCCATGCAAAATATTTCGGAGATAGTGCAATTGCTCTTTTCTAAGTGTAAAAAAATGACGCGATTTTCACTTATATAGTTCTTAATGAATTTTTCGTTTAATTTTTTTATCAGGAAAAAGTCTGAGAACGCCCTTATAGCTACACAATATCTTTCATAGATATTAATGCATTTATGAACGTATTTAGGTATATATGCTTTTTTGAGTTCAACTCAAAATCATCTGCTAAAATAAGGTTAATTGCTTTCTCCAATAAGAAAGCGAAATTGGCGCAAAAAAATGTGAGTGACTCCTAGTTTTGAAAGTGGATTTACAAAAATTTAAAAATCCATCAGAATAGAAAATTTACCCATTAATCCAGTTTTTTTAAGTTGGATTTTTTTAACCAAAAAAATGTCAATTGTAATTGGTACTTGAAAATCAGATTTTTGTTGATCTTTTTTAAGAGTAATGAACGTAGTGAAGACTTATATAGGTATTGCTGATTTTTTTTCAGGAAAAGTCATAAAAGTCTCTGATAACTGCAGATGTGCATTAATACATATTGATGCATTTATGAATGCACTTAGGTATATATGCACTTTTTGAGTTCAATTGAATTTCATCTGCTGGAAGTGACGTAATTAGCACTCTCCAAATACGAACGTGAAAATGGCAGAAAAAACGTGATTGACTTCTAGTTTCGAAAGTGGAATTTAATTTTTTTTTAATTTTTAGATATCCAGCGGAATAAAAACTTTACTTATTTATCTTTTTATCTCTAGATGGGTTCATGTTGTCAAAAAAGCGACAATCATAAATTGTCTAGAAATTCAAAGAGCTTAAAGGGCATCTATTTTTTTCTTTGAAATTCGAAAGTTGAGATTTTTCAAGAAAGTCAGTGTTTTTTATGTTTACTTGCGTTCATTACTTTTTTCCAATCTTAGATTGGCTATGTTTTGTGTTTGATCTTCAAGATGATAAATCGAAAGCAAGGGCTTATGTAATTTTTTCAATGCATTTTGCGTTTAAAATTTTTGGCTTTTTTCCTCCCATACAAAGTCATCATGCTGTGGTAGACCTGAAGCTAGACGTCAAGTTACAGCTTGTCCTCGCGCACTATTATTGACATGGCAGAAGATCGAAGACACGATCTGATGATCTCTAATCGAACGCCTGACCTCCTTTTATGTATCTCAAAAGTTTGCCTCTAATTCTCGGAATTATCTTGTTTACGACTTCCTCACTGTAGTTCTGTTCAGATAATTGATGTATCTAGGCATTAAAGTTACAATGGGCCTTGGCTTATTGCCAAATATTTAAATGATTGCATATCACTGCTGAATAAAGCAAATTATTTTCACGTGTTTTTGTGCCCTTAAACCGTTTTCCCTGAACTTGCTGCTGTTTCAGGAATTTTTGAGACCTTCGGGGCTATTGTGAGAGTGAAACATGTGCGAAGGGCGCTGTTTGTTGGATGTTCTATGCAAATGTTCCAGCAGATAGTGGGAATCAACACCGTCATGTTAGTATCTTTGTATGCTGTGAACTCTCAAAACATTCAAGTATAAGCTTTAAGGTGTTCACTTGCTTCACTTTTTACCATTTAGTCAAAACTTACCATTTTACATTTTCTGCAAAATATCAAATTATGTGCTTTTCTGATAAACGGCCTCAATATACTTTTTCGGAATTTTTAAAATCGAGTAAAGCTAAAATTTGATTGGTTGAAGCTAACTAGTTCCAATTAAAACTGTTATATTTCTATCTATCTCTTTTTCTATCTATCTATCTATCTATCTATCTATCCATCTCACTATCTATTTATGTATCTATCTAACTATCTATCTATCTATTATGTATTTTACTGCTTCGGTCGCTTACTTCTTATAATTAATCCTTTTCAACGTAGTGTTTTGCATGTTTAACTAACAAAATTTAGCACGTTTAAGCTATATCTTATTTCGGCTTGCTTAAAAACTTTTTTCCTCATATTAAACAACTTGCACGCTGAAGCTACGTCTACACAATGAAGTTTTTTTGAAACGAAGAAAATTGCATGTTTTATCATACAATAAATTGACATGGTTACCCTTGCTTAGTTTAATTTTTTTTAAAGATTTTTCGGTTTATATCGCAATCTATAACTATACATTATTTAGCATCATTAGCAACTATGACTGGGTGCGGTTTGAAGTTCTGACTGCTCAAAACTTTCTAGTTTATAGGATATGCCATTTTTTGTGATTTTATCTAAACATTTAGTTCATGTTCGAAAAAAATAAATTTGAAAGTTTGGACGATATGGTGGGATGCTGAAAGAGTACTCTCAGGCGCTATATATTTTTCCTCAAAATCTGATAGAAGAAATCTTTTAGCTGACGAGATATGACAATTTTTCTGTTTGATGAAAAATAAAATCAAATGAATCTCAATTAGGTTCGCCTGACTAAAGAATTGATAGCAGCAAATGATATGCGTACGGTCTAGTGAAATGAAAAAACCAATTTGAACAAGAATTTTCTATAAAAGTAATTACTTGAAATGTTTTTCTTTTTTCAAGTTATGCTGAACTTTCTTTTCGTTTCTATAATTTTCAGGGTAGATGCCTAATAAGCATTAGAAAATATGATACATGTAATTTGCGAAATGTTGAGTTTTTGTACGAGATTTTACTAATAATGTGCCTTAAAACTGTAATTGCTTGATTGAATATCTTTTTTCAATCCCCGATATATCAATAATTGGTTTTCAAACATAATTTTTGCAATTGAAAACCATTCAATGTCTTGATTTCAGTTTGCAGCATTTTTTTACCGATATGCTGCTGCTACAAACCTCCGATGATGAGTTTTTCCGATGATCATTTTTTTTGTTTTAACACTAAGTGTCTTTTAATCGAGAACTAGGCTTTTTTCCCTTAAAGAACTTTTCTCACAAACTTTCGCCTTGAATTATTATTGAATCTTCACAATTTTCAGGTGCATTTCCATTTGTCTAGACGTAACGCCATCGCTTTTGCACCGTAAGGTCTGGCGTTTTAATTCCGGTTGGGCCTTCTTTTTTCAGTATGCAATTGTATTTTGTTCCGATAAAAATCGAATTGTCGGATTTTCGTTTGTCTGCTCAGGTTTTTTCGGCCTAGTTGCCACATCACGGATTTTGCTTGTGCCGTGAGAAGCTATCACTGTAGTTGCAAGTGCAAATGTTGTTCATTGTAGTTTCAGGGGGACACTTGACTTTTTATGTTTTTTTTCTAGGCTCAACTGGCGTCTGCTCAAAGATTGTCGGCTTAGTTGCCACATCACGCATTTTTTGTGGTGAAAGCAAGTTTCATTGTAGTTGCAAGTCCGAGTATTGTTCATTGTACTTTCTGGTGGGACTTGAAACCTAAAATGTTTTGATCAACTTTTTTTCGGCTCAACTTGCGTCAGCTCGAAGATTGTCGGCTTGGTTTCCTCTTCGTAAGCTTTGTTTCGTTGCTAATTTATTTTTCAGATGTCTTGCATGTTTGCCTAGAATGAACTTCTATCGAGACATACGAAAATTTGCTTTTTGATAGAGCTAGATATTTTTTGTGTTTTCATTTTTTCTATTCGTTTTTTTGTGTTTGCTTTGTATCGCCTCTTGTGTAAATATATACTTTCGAATTTTTCAGAAGCAGCTTTAGCTGCAGTGGGACCGCTAGTTTTATTTCAATCAGTACAGTTTTTTGACGTTTTGGTATCTTTTGGGCCGTATTAGAGAAAAGACAGTATTGGTTTATTTACACTCGTTCGAGCTGTGTGTACGCGTGATGTGTGTTCGATGTTCAGGTACTACTGTGCATCTATTGTGGAGATGGCGGGGGTGCCTGACAAACAGCATGCTTTATTCTACGCCGCCCTCATCACTGCCATATATGGACTAGTAGGGACAATCTCTCTCTTTCTAGTGGACTCCCTCGGCAGAAGGAAACTGCTTTTCATCAGTGCCACCGGTAACTCAGCTCTATCTGTTCATGATTTGAATGAACTTTTTATACAAAGAGCTTGAAAAAGCGACTTTTGAACCAAAGTGGGGCAACTAAAAGAGTGTAATTCAAGTGCGAATCATCCAAACTTGGATGCTATCTGCCTACGTCATAATTCAATTTGTAGACACTTTTGTAAATTCAGAATGTAGTGACCTTGCTTGCACTTTTCACCCGACTGTTTATGGTTTGAGGCTCGTTGGCCACCTTGCAAGTTGCCTGGAATGGGAGCAACTTTTCGTGGCACGGAAAATGAACTTAAAAAAAGCACCTAACAATGACTCAAAAACTTATCATAAACTGTGCAGCTTGTATGTCGATACTAATGTTCATTTTATACCTTTTTTGAAACTTCACAACAACTTTTTAAATGCCTCTTCGTCTCAAGATCATGAATGCACATTGAGATGGACATCATATGTGCTGGTCAGCTTGAGCTGCGCAGATTTGCCGTTAAGTGCTCGTAAAACTCTCTTTTTTGCTGAAAAAAAAACATTTTCCTTTGTGGTTTAAATATAATGATGATGTTCCTGAGCGCTGATCTGATTTTTAATTTACTTACAGGTACATTTGTGGGACTTGTGATGTTGGTCATCTCCTTTGCCCTCATATCTCGAAATGCGCCTCAACTCAACTTCACAGAGAAGAGCTTGGAACAAGAGAGCGACAGCTGTGCAACTATATTGTGAGTCAATTTTCATGTTTCATCTTTGTTAGACTTGAATCCGCTTCTTTCGCGGCTGCTTCGTTTACAAATTTAAAAAATCGGAATCAGAACAAAAATTAGTATAAGAGTGATTTTTCAAGTTTGTCTGGATTCAGAGCCATCAGTTAAGTAAAAATAACAAACTATGGCAAAAAGGGCTTTATTGTTGATTAGACACTACAGGGTTCTTCTATTTGATTAGAACATAATGATTAAAAGTTTTTATCGCCAAACTGTTAAAGCTGCGTTGCTTGTTGAGGTGTTAACCTAATTTATGAAAATTGTGTTTTCTTTCATTATCATATTTTAAACGTTTTGATCCAAATAATTCATCTTTGTGTAGAAACTGCAACAACTGTGCTTTGGACTCTGCGTGTGGAGTGTGTTACCTTGACGGCGGCTCCTCTGACACTCTTGTAAAAATGGGATCTTGCATCGAGATTGACGACGAAACCTCCGAGTACCCCGACTACTTCTCCACCTACGGCAGGTGTGACAAAAACCACATGACCTCGGAGAATTCGACCTCTGGCTTGACCTTCTCAACTGACGCATGTCCCTCCAAACTAGCGCCTCTAATAATCATATCACTCATCGCATATCTTCTTTTCTTTGCAGTGGGTAAGTAAAAAACTTAATCTTGTGCAATTAAATGTACAATTTTAACGGAAGGTTTTAGTGTCAGAACTAGGTGAGCAACAATATCCAATTTTTGTGCAATTGATAAGCACATCAGTTATCTCGCAGATGGATTTTTTTGGTTTAATTATTCAACAATTTCGTCTCTTTTCTTGCCAAATTGCCGACGATGCGAGAAAATCTGGGATTTGAAATTCGGACATAAAATTTATTAATAATAGTTCACGGGGAATCAGACCATATTGCAAGTTGAAGTTGCTTCAAGAGAGATAAAGAGATACATGTACAGTATTTAACTCCTCACAAGGATCATACACCAACCCTGAAACTCATTAAAGCGTGACCCTGACTCTGTATTTGGGTTCTATGGCTTTAAATGATTTGAATTTTTTTCAGGTTATGGTCCCGTTCCGTGGCTGTACAACTCCGAGATCTACCCTCAGTGGGCCAGATCTACAGCAGTTTCATTGGCCACGACAACCAACTGGACCTTCAACCTCCTTATTTCCGTCTCTTTTCTTTCCCTAGTCGACGCCATCTCTCAAGCAGGCGAGTTATTTATTTCGCCTTTCAGGGGCTCTTGTCAATAAGTATGATATTTGAGTTCCTAAAATTTAGTTGGCTCCTTGAAGAACAAAACAGGGGTGATCATTTGTATACTTATTTTTAAATTTTTCTTTGAAATCGCGGGATCCATCTTTCAAACTATCATAATTTTGCTGTTGTCTGTTGTTTTTTATAATATTTTGTTATAAATATTTTTTGTTATACGGCCCAAAGATATCAAACTGTCAATTTAATTTATGTTCCTATTGAAAATCAAGTTTCTCTTTCGCCGGAAGTAGTTTCAGCCAATCAGATTCAAACCTTATGATTCAATTTGCAAAATGACTAAAAAACAAGTTTTTCAGCCTTATAACAGAAAAGACCCCTTATTAACTGTATAATTATTATCCAATTGCTCTTAAATATCAACTGCCAAGCAAATATGAAGCGCATTGATTTATTTGGACTTATTTTCGTTGTTTCATCGATTAGTTCGACCTTAGGGATTTTTGTTTTACGACATCCATTTTCGGCCGACCGACCCTAAAATTTTCTGAAGACGCCGTTGGCGCCAATATAATTTAACTTTTGAGGGGTAGCGGCGGAACTAAACGGCGTTTTTGGATTGTTTTTTTTTTTTTCAAATTGCGCTTGCGGAGCTGAAAATTTGGCAAAATTGGTTTTTCATAGTGCTTTAGGGTAGCTCGAAAATCAATTTGCTCAGCCGCAAAAAAGGTTGATCTACAAAATCTTTTGAAAATCTATTAGGAGTGTTCTACGTTTCTTTTATCCTAACTGTTTTTCTTGTCATTAGCGTTTGTTTCGTTTTAGGTACATTTGCATGCTACAGCGTCTTTGCCCTTCTGTCGGTCCTGTTTTTCTTCTATTTCATGCCGGAGACGAAAAACACTCCTCTGGAACAAATTGAACATCTGTTTGGTCTGCAATACGAACACTTCTCAGATCAAAACACCCTCGAAACCTCAAGTGCCGACAACGAGTGACTCCTGCCAATAAGAAATTCTAAACTCTGTTTAATTTAAAAGAGAGCAGTAGTACAGTAGCGGATTTAGGAGTACTTTTTTGGTACTATTTTGCGACAGCAGCCGCAATAAAATGTATTTTGAGGGTGCAGCGTGCTCCAAAAAGCGCAATTTTTTGGCCAAAACTTTCCCAAAACTGCCTGAAAACATCATTTTTGACATTTTGCTAGAAGGGCAGAACATTTTAGCTCAAAATCGTCTGAATGGTGTTTTAAGATAGCTCGAAAAATCAATTTGTTTGATCTAGAAAATGCTCGACAAGATGATTGATTTTATTTGCAAATTCGTTCCTTCGAAATCCTAGATCCGCACCTGCAGTAATTCAACTGAATTTAAATTTGATGTTATACCATTCTACAACTGTATATAATTTTAACGGCAACAATTCTATGTGATAGCTCAATTTATATCAGTAAGTGATTCAGCTGTCATCCAAGTATTTTGAATAGAAAACATGAAAACAAGTTAAACTGTTTTTATTTAATATCTGAGAGTTCATGCTATCAAGTTTTTGTGGTTCTAAAGGCTGCTGAGTAATCAAGACAAATTTTTCCCCATATTTTTATCCCCTCGTTATTTAGTCTTTCAAGGAATAAATACCCGAAAACTTAACCCTTTCTTAATGCCGATATTTCAAAATGTTCCTACGATTTAAGCACAAAATGATCCTACGATATTCTTTAAAAAAATCAAAAATAGTATTTTTTCAGCGCTGTCTGATAAACATCTGGACGAAAAAAATAAAGGTTAGGCTTATTCGACAGTCTTAGTAAAATAGGCCCATTGGAAAACAGTTTTTGTAGATAAATAACTAGAAAAACAATTAACTCGTTAAAAAATTCAAAAATTAGAAAAATTTTTGCCGACTTCTTGTTTTTTCTCGACACAAATTTTTTTAAAAGTTTTTTTGTCGTTTGAATCATAACTGAAAAGGTTTTGATATAATATGGCAATCCGCCCATTTCGATGACTATTTGTGGCACTTGATTTTGTGCGGAAATAACTAAGACACCCGAATACAAAGTTCTTCCATATTTTTCAAATGATCGGAACAATGATTCTGATTTCGGTAGATAAAAAGAAGACTGATCGTATCAAGGCGAATCCCTAAATGTCCAGTCTGCTTTTCAAATCTATAGAAAAGTGTTTGCTTTAAAAATGATGAAAGTTTCAAAATAAATCATAAAAAATCTTAAATAGTTTTTTGAGATTTTTTGAAAATTATCCCCCTACACGCAATTTATAGTAAAAATGATACGTTTTGCATATAAGGTATTAAATGGACCAAATAGCATGCCTCAATTAAATTAGGAATTAAATTGTCGACGCCATCTCTCAAGCAGGCGAGTTATTTATTTCGCCTCTCAGGGGCTCTTTTCAATAAGTATGATATTTGAGTTGCTAAAATTTAGTTGGCTCCTTGAAGAAACAAAACAGGGTGATCATTTGTTACTTGTTTTTAAATTTTTCTTTTAAATCGCCGGATCCATCTTTCAAACTATCATAATTTTGCTCTTTTCTGTTGTTTTTTATAATATTTTGTTATAAATATTTTTTGTTATACGGTCCAAAGTTATCAAACTGTCAATTTAATTTATGTTCCTATTGAAAATCAAGTTTCTCTTTCGCCGGAAGTAGTTTCAGTCAATCAGATTCAAACCTTATAATTCAAATTTCAAAATGACTAAAAAACAAGTTTTTTAGCCTTATAACAGAAAAGACCCCTTATTAGCTGTATAATTAGTATCCAATTGCTCTTAAATATCAACTGCCAAGCAAATATGAAGCGCATTGATTAGTTTGGACTTACTTTCGTTGTTTCATCGATTAGTTCGACCTTAAGGATTTTTGTCTTACGACATCCATTTTTGGCCGACCGACCCTAAAATTTTCTGAAGACGCCGTTGGCGCCAATATAATTTTACTTTTGAGGGCTAGCGGCGGAACTAAACGGCATTTTTGGATTGTTTTTTTTCAAATTGCGCTTGCGGAGCTGAAAATTTGGCAAAATTGGTTTTTCATAGTGCTTTAGGGTAGCTCGAAAATCAATTTGCTCAGCCGCAAAAAAGGTTGATCTACAAAATCTTTCGAAAATCTATTAGGAGTGTTCTACGTTTCTTTTATCCTAACTGTTTTTCTTGTCATTAGCGTTTGTTTCGTTTTAGGTACATTTGCATGCTACAGCGTCTTTGCCCTTCTGTCGGTCCTGTTTTTCTTCTATTTCATGCCGGAGACGAAAAACACTCCTCTGGAACAAATTGAACATCTGTTTGGTCTGCAATACGAACACTTCTCAGATCAAAACACCCTCGAAACCTCAAGTGCCGACAACGAGTGACTCCTGCCAATAAGAAATTCTAAACTCTGTTTAATTTAAAAGAGAGCAGTAGTACAGTAGCGGATTTAGGAGTACTTTTTTGGTACTATTTTGCGCGAGCGGCCGCAATAAAATAAATTTTGAGGGTGCAGCGTGCTCCAAAAAGCGCAATTTTTTGGCCAAAACTTTCCCAAAACTGCCTGAAAACATCATTTTTGACATTTTGCTAGAAGGGCAGAACGTTTTAGCTAAAAATCGTCTGAATGTTGTTTTAAAATAGCTCGAAACATAAATTTGTTTGATCTAGAAAAAGCTCGACAAGATGATTGATTTTATTTGCAAATTCGTTCCTTCGAAATCCTAGATCCGCACCTGCAGTAATTCAACTGAATTTAAATTTGATGTTATACCATTCTACAACTGTATATAATTTTAACGCAACAATTCTATGTGATAGTTCAATTTATATCAGTAAGTGAATCAGCTGTCATCCAAGTATTTTGAATAGAAAACATGAAAACAAGTTAAACTGTTTTTATTTAATATCTGAGAGTTCATGCTATCAAGTTTTTGTGGTTCTAAAGGCTGCTGAGTAATCAAGACAAATTTCTCCCCATATTTTTATCCCCACGTTATTTAGTCCTTCAAGGAATAAATACCCGAAAACTTAACCCTTTCTTAATGCCGATATTTCAAAATGTTCCTACGATTTAAGCACAAAATGATCCTACGATATTCTTAAAAAAAATCAAAAATAGTATTTTTTCAGCGCTGTCTGATAAACATCTAGACGAAAAAAATAAAGCTTAGGCTTATTCGACAGTCTTAGTAAAATAGGCCCATTGGAAAACAGTTTTTGTAGATAAATAACTAGAAAAACAAATAACTCGTTAAAAAATTCAAAAATTAGAAAAATTTTTGCAGACTTCTTGTTTTTTCTCGACACAAATTTTTTTAACAATTTTTTTGTCGTTCGAATCATAACTGAAAAGGTTTTGATATATTATGTCAATCGGCCCATTCCGATGACTATTTGTGGCACCTGATTTTGTGCGGAAATAACTAAGACACCCGAATACAAAGTTCTTCCAAATTTTTCAAATGATCGGAACAATGATTCTGATTCTTGATTAAAAAAAGACTGATCGTATCAAGGCGAATCCCTAAATGTCCAGTCTGCTTTTCAAATCTATAGAAAAGTGTTTGCTTTAAAAATGATGAAAGTTTCAAAATAAATCATAAAAAATCTTAAATAGTTTTTTGAGATTTTTTGAAAATTATCCCCCTACACGCAATTTATAGTAAAAATGATACGTTTTGCATATAAGGTATTAAATGGACCAAATAGCATGCCTCAATTAAATTAGGAATTAAATTGTCGACGCCATCTCTCAAGCAGGCGAGTTATTTATTTCGCCTTTCAGGGGCTCCTTCAAAATTTGCTTGTGAAAAAATAGCTTCTTTGAAAGTTAGAACAAAACGTAAACGGTTTAACGTGGGTAAGTTTTCCATTTTGTTGGATCTTGTGAATAGATTGGGAGTAGCATTTTATTCCTCGGGCAAAACGACAAATAGTTAGCTATTAAAATACTCGTTCAGATGATTAACATCTAAAAAATTAAATCAATTCAATAAAATTAACTTTTTAATGTTGAATGAACAAAGATAAGCGCAAAACAGTTTCGATAATCAATAATTCGATGGACCAGAGAACGGTTGAACGACTTACATTGGTCGAGAATATTTTGCGTTAATTCTTCCTGTCGAGACAAAAATGCGTTAACTTTTCAATTTGAGACAAAATTTGTTATATGTTCCTGTTGAGACGAAAGCGAGGCTAGCGAGACATGTCAAGACTTCATTTTATCATGTTTATCGAGGCTTTGAACATGACTCAGACCTTGCAACAAAACAAAAAACTGAACTTCGAAACTGCTACAAAGCAGTTTTCTACTCTTTTTTTCCAAATTAATGACAAATTTATTTCACATTGCTTTCCGAAAAAAAATCAAAATTCAGTCAGTGGATTAGAGGTGAATTTTTCCTGAAGAATTTGACGTACTAAAAATTAGTATTTTAAAAAGAAAATCAACGCTTCCAGTTCGATATTTGTTGCACGCAAAAATTGCAAACAGTTTCAAAAGCGCTAAATTGTGCATGGTTATGTGATCAATGCAAAAATCAAAAAAAAATTTCAGGCACTCAGACAAAGAGTTTAGCAACAAGTCTCCGTTTTATATAGGAACGGTCCAAAAAAGTTTATTTTCCAATAACTGAATTAAGTTAAATTTTCGCAAAAAGCAAAATATTTCCCCAGATAGGTTCAAATTACAGTATTCTGTTGAGCAGGCGGTTGATACTTTTTTCGCTGTATGCATCGCTAATTTCCTATTTTCTTGGCTTTATCTCTTTTTTTTTGGCTAACTCAACAAATTTTGCCGCATATTTACGCAAATTCGAACTGAATCTACTTCAAAATTAAAATTGATTGACGAAAAATTCCTTTCTTTACGCAATGAAATTGAATGCTTTGTAAAAATTTTCCGACTGTTCCCTAATTAATATCGAATAGTTTTTGGGAAAAAAATATTGAAAACCTTTAATTTTTGGACGATATCAAACGGTGAAACTTTGAGTCGCACCAAATTAAAAAGACCAAATAGCTAGCCTCAATTCAATTTGGAACGATTTTGTTGTGCGGGATAATTCGCCACACCTAAATAATTCGCGTTACACTCTCAGCATTATGAATAAGATTTGACTCATTTATAAATTCAAAATTGTTTAACCAACTGTAAAGCAGACGTTC